ACAGCTTCTCTGGGCAACCTGGGCCACTGCCTCAACACCCACACTGGAAAACATTTCTTCCTAAAATCTCATCTAAATCTCCCCTCTTTCAGCTTCAAACCATTTCCCCTTGTCCTATCCCTCCACCCCCTGATCAAGAGTCCCTCCCCATTTCTCCTGTGGCCCCCTTTCAGCACTGGAAGGTGCTCTAAGGTCTCCCTGGAGCCTTCTCTTCTCCAGGCTGAACAACCCCAACTCTAAGATGGGGAGATGCTCCGATACTGGGGCGCTGGGGAAGCCGTGGGGCTGGCAGGACTTGCTCAGTGTGGAGAGAAGCCCCAGCGTTACCTGGTGGGCTTTGCTTGGACCCGGCAGCCATGGGGGCTTTGCTTGGTTTTACCTGGGGATCCACAGTGAGCCGAGGCATGGAGGACGCCCTCCCAGAGACAGCGTGGTCCTGAGTGTCCACGGGAAGGTAGCTGCCACGGTTAGAGGGCTGCACTCTTTGAAACTCCCTAACCTCTGGCTCCTGGAAACAAACACACAGCCGAGCTCTTGGGATGGGCTTGGAGCAGGGCAGCAACGCGGCTTTTGCCCCGTTTGCAGGGGGTTTGCTCAATCAACCGGTTGTGGATTTTAAGTGGGACAAAAAGCAATTCTAAGGTACATCATCTGCCACATCACCACTGAAAAATAAATCTCCAATTCACAATCCATTTTAGGTGAGCCCAGATGTGGTGCTTCAGGATGCCTGATGGCCAATTCATCTGGCACCTCTGCAGTGGTGGTGGAAACCCTGCCTGGATGTGGGGATGCCCTGACTGCCTGGGCTTTACCTCCTTCTCCTTTTGCCAGAAGGGGACAAATGTAGGGGATTTTCTCTCCGAGCCTGCTTTAAAGGCTTTCTGGCCACATCCCCATTAAAAGAAAGCACACCCACCACGGCACTTCGAGGCTTTGGTTAATTCCCAATTTATGGGACGTGGAGTGAAGGAGATGGGCAGGTGGAGATCTGCTAGAAGGTGACTTTATGGGGAGGGGAGTGTCTCATCCTGGTGCATCTCCACCAGTGGGACGGTGGGATGGTCAGGGCAGGGGACAGTACACAGGTCACACAGTACTACAGACCCTGGGGACATGGAGTGGGCTGGAGATGCACAGTGGTACAACACTGCATCCGACACAGGTCGGGGTGGTGCACGAATGCACACACACAGACACAGAGAGAGGTGCATAGATATGTATGTATATATATATATACACACAGACAGACACGGCCGCTGCTCGGCGG